GGGATGGATCGTCCACTCGGCACTTCTGGCTGAAGATTGCTGCGAATCCTTCAGCCCTATCTTTTGCACTGATGTGCTGGGGTCTTCCATCATTGAGGATGGGGATATTTGTGGAGCCTCCTCCTCCAGTGAGTTGTTTAATTGTCCACCACCATTCACAACTGGATGTGGCAGGACTGCAGAGCTTAGATCTGATCCGTCGGTTGTGGGATCACTTGGCTCTGTCTATCACTTGTTGCTTTCGCTGTTTGGCGTGCAAGTAGTCCTGTTTGGTGGCTTCACCAGGTTGATACCTCATCTTCAGGTATGCCTGGTGCTGTTCCTGGCATGCCCTCCTGCACTCTCCATTGAACCAGGGTTGATTCCCTGGTTTGATGGTAATGGTTGAGTGGGGGATATGCCGGGACATGAGGTTACAGATTGTGCTGGAGTATAATTCTGCTGCTGTTGATGGCCCACAGTGCCTCATGGCTGCCCAGTCTTGAGTTGCTAGATCTGTGCGAAGTCTGTCCCCTTTAACACGATGATAGTGCCACACAACACGATGGAGGTTGTTCTCAATGTGAAGGCGGGACTTTGTCTCCACAACGACTGTGCGTTGGTTGCTCTTACCAATACTGTCATGGACAGATGCATCTGCAACTGGAAGATTAGTAAGGATGAGGTCAAGTATGTTTTTCCCTCTTGTTGGTTCCCTCACCACCTGCCGCAGACCCAGTCTAGCAACTATGTCCTTTAGGACCCGACCAGCTCAGTCAGTAGTACCGCTGCCGAGCCACTATTGGTGGTGGACATTGAAATCCCCCACCCAGAGTGCACCGAATGTTGCCACTAAAGCTTTGATGGGAGGTGAGCCTTTCAGTTGCAGAATTCCCAACCTCTGCACCTCACTGACAGAGTTTGGGTTAATAATAATGGTTCAGCTGCATATCCCATGGCAGTGTTGGTGTTTGAACTGTGCATTCCTCGATGGTGGGGTTAAATGACACATTTAGCCTGGGCACAGTGTGGGGCAACAATTCTCCACAGTTGGCGCCATCGAGTGGCTGGAGGTCACTTCCTGAGAGCTCTTTGTTGAGGAATCTCTACACTCCAACCCTACTCAGTGTAACTGAAATGAGCAACCTGCCTGTGTCAATGGCATCAAAGATCACAGTGAATGCGCTGACACTGAAAGTGTCAAGTTGAAGGAGTACTAACACTGTCTAATAAGGTTGAGGCAGGCAAGTCAAGCAACACTGGGTTGCAATTGGACAGCAATGGAGGGACAACCATCAGAGTATTGCAGGTCCTTTCTCATTGAGTCACTTTTTCAGGGACAGCTGACTGACTGACTTCCCCACACTTTGAGAAGTGATGGTACAGTGGTGTTGTGGCTGGACTAGTAACCCAGTGACCCAGGTAACATTCTGGGGACCAGGCTTTAAATCCCACCACAATAAAATTTGAATTCAGGAGAAATCTGGAATTAAAAGTCTAATGATGACTGTGAAACCATTGTCATAAAAATGTCCTTTAGGGAAGGAAACTGCCACCCTTACTTGGTCTGGCCTCCATGTGACTCCAGACCCAAAGCAATGTCGTTGAATGCCCTCTGAAGCAGAGGAGCAAGCTGCCCAATTCAAGGGCAATGGGAATGGGCAATAAAAGTTGGCCAGATCGAATGAATAAAATAAAAACTCCGAAAGGATAGTTCAATGATGCATGCTGCCTGAAATTTCCTGAAATGGTTTACCATGATGCGTCGTGGATTGTTTGATTTAATTTATTATTGTCACATACTGACGTACAGTGAAAAGTTTTGTTTTGCAGGCAGATCATACATTACAAAGTGTATTAGGGTAATAGAACAGAACGAGGAATGCAATGTTAACAATCGTAAGATATGTAAGAATAAGGTCTGCTGTAGAAAGCTCGCAAAGAGTCACCATACTTTGGCACCATTTGATTGCGCAGCCACTTTTACTGTCGTCATGTTCGCAAAAGTGTTTGCTCCTGGAGTTTGTTGACCAGAAATAATGATGAAACAGTCATTCCTGTTTGCTTTAATAAAAGTGGAAACTTCAGTCACTCAGTAACCCTGAGTAAAGTTAACCTTTTGTTATTGTATTTGAAGAAAACCTCCTTTCAGTCCTGAAACCTGACACTAGTCAGTTCGGGCCATTAGAATCTGCATGTTTCTGTTTGGAGCTGGGAATCCACCCAGAAGGTTTACAAAAACAACATGCTTTAAATCAAATATTTGTCTCTGTTCAGCTGATCTTTGCAACCATGCAAATTTTGAAATTAGTTGGAAGGACAGGAGAGATTCATAGAATCCCTACAGTGCAGAAACAGGCCATTTGGCCCATTGAGTTTGAGCTGACTCTCCATAGAGCCCCCCCAACCCCACATTTCCCATGGCTAACCCACCTAGCCTATACATCATTGGACGCTATGAGCAATTTAGCATGGCCAATCCACTTAGCCTGTACATCTTTGGACTGCAGGAGGAAACTGGAGTACCCGGAGGAAACCCACACAGACACAGGGAGAATGTGCAAACTCCACACAGATAGTCGCTTGATCGTGGAACTGAACCTGGGTCCCTGGCACTGTAAGGCAGTGGTGCTAACCTGTTAGATTCAGGAGGATGAAAGCTAAGATACAGTCATGTATTAAGCTTGCATGTGTGTGATTGCACACACTTTGGCATCAAAAAGCCAAGTAATAACACAGGCGTGTGTGTCAGTCAGAATTAATTTCTTTGAACATTCAAATGATAAGCAACATCATATCGAAAACAGGTGTATGTGACAAAATATGGTGCTTAGGCTTAGTTTAATGCTTTCCTTTTAAATCCTGTCGTGGTATCTGGGAGTTGGGATAGATCTTGCTCAGTGAAGGTTCTGCTCTCTCTCTTTGGGATGGCTACCTTTAAACTAAGGTAGAGAGTGTGATGCCTCTATCCACACCGTCAACCCGTCTGAACAAACACACAGCATTTCCCAAACTCCCTGACAGTCACTGGTTTTGTGACATGTCCATCAAACTGTTGCCAGCTAAGAGCTGGCATGAGGATTGTGAGGGCATATTGAAGGGTCACGCACCATACCTAGACCTTGCAAAGGGACCTTTTGTTAGACCTACCCCCAAAATGGGTAGAGACATATTAGGACCCAAGAGCAGCTGAGAGGGAAGGCCTGTTCTCTTTCTCCCAAAACACAGGGTTCAGCTGAGATTTTCTTCAGTTTAGGGGATTGAGGGAAATGGAACAAAGGAGGCTGCATGGACGTGAGCTGAAGTTCTTCTACGAGTTAATTGAACAGCAGGGCCAGGTTAAGGGGCTGAATGGCCAGTGCTTGTTTGCTTTCTCCTCAGGTGTTACTCTAACCATCCCAATTATTACTCTAACCACCCCAATTATTACTCTAACCGTCCCAGTTGTTACTCTAACCGTCCCAGTTGTTACTCTAACCGTCCCAGTTGTTACTCTAAACATCCATTGAGCCTTGCCGAGACAGCTTGAAGATTTGTCTTTCAGTTTTAATCACAAAGCTCTATTGGAATTATTCAAGCCCAGGGACCACAAGACTTGATCTGTGGCATTGAGTGAACAGAAAATGAGAGGCTATTTTGTAACTCAGTCAAAATCCAATTGCTTGCCCTGCATTAGAATCAGGCTGTTAGGAGGCTTCTTAACTTTGAAAAGACATGATAGAGATAGGGTCTTACAGACGATATTAAAAGGTATGGATAAATATGAGTTTAGAAAAAGGGATGATTTACTGTAGTTATTTAGGGTCTTGGGTGAGACCATACCTGGAGTTTTGGTGCAATTTTGGTCTCCCTACCTAAGAAAGGCTATAACAGGTTGTAGAGTGGAGGACCACAGCGGTGATACTAGTGATGGCAGGACTGTCCCATGAGGATAGATTGGTTTGACTTGGCTTGAATTCGCTAAAGTTTTGAAGGGTGAGAGGAGGTCTGATTGAAAAGAATAAAATTCCAACAGGGCTGCAAGATTAATTGGAGGGGCATGTTTCCCTGGTAGGGAGGTCTACACTCATGGGACACAGTCTTAGGGTATGGGGGAGACTATTTAGGACTGAGATATGAAAAGAATTCTTCACACAAAAGTTAGTGAACCTGTGGAATTCTCTACCACAGACAGTTGTAGAGGCCAAGTCATTGAATGCATTCGAGAGAGATAAAGACAGACGTTTAGATTTTAAAGGCATCAAGGGGAATGGGGAGTGAGATAGAGTTCATGGTCACGTTGAAAGTCAAATCAGGCTTGAAGAGCCAAAAGCTCCTGCTTTCTATGTCTCTCATAAAGCATAATTTCATGGTGTATCAGGATACTCATTCCCTGTGCTAGTCAACATATTAACTCCGGTGACCCAGGCTCAGGACTGGTGATGGGAAACTTATGGATAGCTTCAGGCAAGGGGTGATCCACACTTTGAATGGTGTTCTGAACAAGCTGGGATAACAGAGGCAAAACCTGATGAGTTATGATGGCCCAAATGGCCTTTCTGTACTGTGTCTATTTTTCAATTTTGTGACGCTTGGTTAAGTGAAGGTGTTCTTAGTGAACCTCATTGACTTGTCCAGTGGTAGAGATTCTATTTTCTTTATTCACTGAAGGGATGTGGGCATCATTGGCTGGGCAGCATTTATTGCCCGTCCCTAGTTGCCCCATGAGAAAGTGGTGGTGAACTGCCTTCTTGAACCGCTGCAGTCCATGTCCTTATGGAGGATATTCCAGGATTTTGACCAAGTGACAGTGAAGGAACAGCGATATATTTCTAAGTCAGAATGGTGAGTTTACATCAACGTTCACATCCAGACCCTTCAACAAGCTACAGCCAGAAATGAGTTCTGATCCTATCAGTGAATAGTGCAAGGGGATGGTTTCTCAATGAGCAATGAATATGTGCACTGTACAGATTAGAGTTCTGTGTTCTACCAGCTTCATTAAGTGAGCTTTGTTTTCTCTCTCTCTCTCCCCAATCTAGTGGAGCAATTTCAGAAACTGCAGCAAGCGAAAGAGACCTTGACCAATGAAGAGAGGCGCTCCTGTTATGACCAATGGTGTCGCAGCAGGATAGTGATTCCATTTCAGCAGTGGGAGGCACTGAGTGACACTGTTAAAATGGTGGGTAGCTTATGGGACTAAACCCTGATTTTCCATTTGAAATGCACAGTCAGACATGTTGATCTAGAATAATAAAAACAGAAATTACTGGAAAACCTCAGCAGGTCTGGCAGGATCTGTGGAGAGAAAGCAGAGTTAACGTTTCAGGTCTAGTGACCCTTCTTCGTTCTGAAAGATTAAGTCTGCTTTCTGTCCACAGATTTTTCTATTATTTTGGAGCAAGATGCATTTGCTAATTTAATGTGTGCACTTAGCTCTTTGTGTGCTGTAAAAACCTCCTCCAACACATTTACACTTTCCTAAAATGAGGAGACCAAAACTGCGCACAGTATTCGAGATGTGGTGCCACCATTGCCCTATATAACTGAAGCATAATGTGCTTACTTTTACATACAATTCCTTGCATAATAAAGGATAGCATCCATTAGCCTTCTTGGGTTACTTGCTGTATACTAACTTTTAAGGATTCAGGCACTAGAGCACTTTGATCCTTCTGCACCTTGGAATTTTGCAGTCATTCTCTCTTTAGGTAACACTTTTTTTTTATTTCTTTCCTGTCAATGTGAACAATTCCACTGTTTCCTCATTACAAATCATCTGCAATATTTTGGCCTACTCACTCAACCTACCTATATCCACCCACAACCTCTGTGTGTCCTTTTAGCAACATATTTTCCTACCTATCTTATGTCATCTGCAAATTTAGTTACCATGCCATTGCTCCCCTCACCTAAGTCACTGATATAAATTGTAAAAAGTTGATGGTCTAGCAGAGACTCCAGTGGGACTCACCTCGTTATATCTTGTCAATCAGTCAAAAACCTATTTATTCAAACTCTCTGTTTTCTGCCAGCCAGCCAATCCTCTGTTCATGTTAATATGTTATCCACTGAACCATACGCTCCTACTTTGTGCAATAACTTCTTTTATTTGATATTTTGTCAAATTTCCTTCTGGAAATCTAAGTGCAGTATATCTACAGGCACCTTTTTATCCAGCGTGCATGTTGCTCCTTCAGGAATGCCAAAAGATTGGTTAAGTACAATTTACCCAACACAAAACAATGCAGATTTTTTCAATTCCCTTGAGATGTTCAAAGTGCACAGTTATAACCATCTTAACAATCAATTCCAATACATTCCCCATATCAGAATTCAAGCCAACTGGCCTATAGTTTCCTCTCTTGTTAAATTTGCTACTGCCTAGTCTGACGCAATCTATCCAGAATCTAGTGAATTTTGGAAAATCAACAGCAAAGCATCTACTACCTCATGAGCCACCACTTTTAAAACCCGACAGTGAAGTCTATCAGGAGCCAGAGACTTATTGGCCCACATCTCCATCAGTTTGTTCAGTCCCATTTCCCTTGTGATTATAATTTCACCAAGTTCCTCACTCCTTTCCACTTCCTGATTTGCCGTATTACTAGAATGCTTTTTGTATCCTCTATGATGAAGACAAAAGCAAAATATTTGTTAATTTCATCCACCATTTCCTATTATTTGTGATTAACTTTCCATTCTCACTCTGTGGAGATACCAACACTTGTTTTATTTACTATTTTCATTTGTAAATGCCTGTAGGTACACTACTGTGTCTGTTTAAATTCTGAGCTAGTTTAATCTCATAGTCTGATTTATTTTGTCCGATTAACCTCTTCATCATTCTCTGCCATTCTCTATATTCTGAAAATCTGACCTGCCTTGCATCTTTGCACAATTATAAGCTTTTTCTCTTAAATTTGATGCTTTCCCTAACTCCTTCAGTTAATCCTGGACAGTGGGCGTTCCCTTTAGAATTCTTCTTTACAGGAGGAATGTATTTATTCTGAGAATTCTGAAATATTGCTTTAAATCTCTGCCTCTGTTTCCCAATGGTCGGTCTCTTGTCAAGTGTGCCAGGTCACTTCAGCTAGCTCAGCATCCGTGCCCAAATCACGGCCCTTATTTAAGTTTCATACTTGGACCCACCCTTCTTTCA